CAAGGTTATCTTAATGACGGTAGGGTCATTATAGTGTCAACTGATGGGGTATAACATCACCAAAATGATAAGAAACAGGGATTTTTCTCACTGAATATTGGGGACATGACCAAATGAACTAGGGAATCCTGGGTGCAGCAGCCATAGGTCTTAAGAAAAAGGAGAGTGGCTTGTCCTCAGTGACAGTAAGGATCTAGCATACTATTAAGACTGGTGTTTATCTAGTGAAAGAGTACCAGTCTCAGCCAGGAAGCTTATAGTCAGTAAGATTCCTAATTAGGTTACCAGGTGATTGGATTAGATGTTGACTGGTGTCTTAGCTAGGGTCCTTGTGATAGGCATTAGAAGCCAGCAGGCAGCCTTACTCTAGGTAACACTCCACTTTTTCAGTGTCTATGCTGAATTGTCACAGGCCATGCCTGTTGCACAGATTCATGCACAAGTTCAATGCTACAAACAGGTACTGACTTGACACAGGCTTTCAGATCATAACACAAACAGGATCTGAGGCCAAGAGTTAAGTACATGAGGCTGTGGAACCTAGGCCTATGTATACCAGCCTATTACTCTCACAGCTCTTGAGATGCTGCTTAGAATCTTTAGCCCATACCCTCTAGTTAAAAGCAAAGCAGAGCCTGATTTGAATAGTTTTGAATCCTGTCTGAATTGTCTACTTCATATTTGGTACGGCTTCACTTACCCGCTATCACACCTCTGCCATATTTCTCTCCTTCCTGTAGTAAGGTCTGAATCTGTGTCAGGGTCATTCCCAACCTCTCTGTCAGAACTTCTTGCCAGGCATCATCTTCCCAGTCTCTGTGAGCAATGTGGATGGCGATGGTACATTTCTGATGGCTCCTCAAGAGAGGACGCCAGCGTGTCTCAAGAGTCTTGACTCCATTTAAGATTAAACCAGCATAGGGCTGCCGGAAGGAGAGGCAGGGAAACTTCATTTTCCTCACAGTCTTTGAGCCTAAACACAGAAGCACATCACAGCTTAGCTCTTCAGGCTCAAGTCCATTAGGCCTTACCGGGACATTTCCCATGTGCCCTGAAACTCCACTGAACTTGATATGCTTCCTGTTACAGATTAATGGTACCACGCTCAAAGTCAGGCCCAATGCCAATGGCTGGAATTAGGATGACACATGCTCCATGGAGTCTTTGGGGAGCTCACAAAATAGGACAGAGATAGCTAGAGAAAGGTACTGGGAGAACATCGTGGTCAGTGCTGACAGAGGTCACTGGTCCCTAGGGGAACACAGGAGGGAAGGGCCATCTTGACCTATTCAGGCCTCACACCTGAGTAGGCTGGCTTTAACACAATCTTAGCTTTCCTACCTTTCCTTCCTGTCTATGTCACTGTCACCAATACTCTTTGCTTCCTGGTCCTGTCATTATATGCCATATAGGTCTGGAATTGGTCAGCTCCAACCTGAGCTAGTGAACACCAGTCCCTGAAATGTAAGCTTGCTTTATTTTGGAGTTTCCTTGGATCTCAAGTAGCCCCATCTGTGTCTCCTCCTGAGTCTCATCAGTGTCATGCTTCTCAAGCCCCTTGTCACATCCACGACCTGAGCCTAAGGAAGAAAATGATGGCACTAAGCACTAGGGTACCATTACTCATACGCCTTCTATGTTTTAGTTCCTAGGTGATCAGTATCTTTGGATAATGAATTGCATCCCCTAATGACCCAGCAAGTAAGTATGACTATTAGGACTCCTGTAAAGCTGAGGGGAAAAAAGATGGGGTGAGAAAGCAATGGTCTAGGGTGGCAATGACCTGACTTTGCACACCTACTATCCAGTTTCTTACAGTCTTTGTGTGTCCCTTGTGAGAGGCACACTTTGCCTTAGGAAGTGATGGAGTCATGCTGACAGAGACATGAAGTCAGAACCTCAGCTCAGTCTTAGCATACCACCCAGTTTCCATTTTCATGGGACTCTTTTTAAGGTACATTAAGCACCAAGAACACATTACCTGGGGACAGAGCCAAGGGTGTCCATTTTCAACACTGAGACAGCAGAAAACACAGGGGCACTGAGCACAAGGTTCCATCCTGGTTCTGCTGTCCACCCATGAACTCCCCCCCCATCCTGGTTTTGGTCTTCCTGACCCTTCTTTAAATACACAACCTTAGTCTTCCGGGTCTCCTCCTGTTATAAGACATGGCTCTTTCAGGATAAAAGCAGTCTGCCATTTGTCTCTTTCTCCAGTCATACTTCAACTTGTCAAGGCTAGCAACACTAACTGTCCTACTTAGTTTTAACTGTCAACTTGACACAGCCTAGACTCACCTCAGAAGGCAGTCAGTTGAGGGATTTCCCAGATAAGACTGGCCAGTGTGGACATCTGTGGGGGACGTTTGCAATATTACCTGTTGTAGGAGGATGCAGCCTACTGTGAGCAGTGCCAAGGAATGTGATACCCTGCACTGTATATGAAAGCTAGCTAGCATGAGTACATAGGCAGGCTATCAAACAGCATTTTTCCCTTTGTTTCTGCTCTTTGGCTGTGAGTGAGCTCCTTGGTCAAAAGTAATACTGTGTTGAATAACATACAGGCTTGGCTTCAAGTTTCTTCCTTGAATTCCTGCCCTGATTTTCCCCCAGTGACAGGCTGTAATCTGTAAACTAACATTTTCTTTCCATATCAGATTGGCCTGTGGAAGAAAGTCTACATATTAATCTCTAGGCAGGTGGCCCTGGGTTGTCTAAAAAATCTAGCTAAGCATGGGCCTGTGAGTGAGCCAGAAAGCAGTGTTCTTTCTTCTCAGTTCCTGCCTTGGCTTCCCTCAATGGATTGTGACCTGGAAATACAAGCCAAATGATACCCCCCAATGCTTTCTGTCAGTATTTTATCACAGCCAACAGGAATCAAAGTGTAACATTCCCCTACATTGCTTTTGCTCCTGGTGTTTGTTATAGCAACAGAATGAAACTAGAGCACTAACCAAGCCAGTTCTGTGTCACCCAGGACCAATCTACCACACTCATTCTAGGTCCTAGAATACAGGACCTCTGTCCTGACAGTCTGCTCTTGCTCAGCATCACTGTTTTTCCATTCCAGGAGTGGATGGTTCCGCTTCTGAGAACAGGAGCTGTACACCTTTCACCACACAATGAAAGTCTCTTCTGTGAGTCGCTCATGCCTCCAGGCCTATCCTACCTTCTTTACACAGTGCGCACAGCAGAAATCTCAAAAGACTGGTGCACACACAAGTGTCCACTCCCCACCATATGATCTCCTCCTTGTGTATTCTGTCCCCCAACACTCCTCTCAAACCTGGTTTTACAGGGACCGGCCTATGGCAACTCTGTAGTCACAACACATAATACCTCAGCATTTCTGGCTGCCCCTTACCCAGGCTTCCATGATGCTCACTGGCCTGCTCTGACTGCTATGACATGGCCCACACCTTCCTACTCGGGTGACTGAGCCAGGCTGTTGGACTTGGGAATTCAGCTTCTATGAACCCAAATCCACCAGTTTTTTCTTTGTAAGTGAGGCTATAGTCTGTCCTATTTTTGTCACCTAGATGTAGTAGCGCTTACGCTTTCCCTTTCCTCCTCCCACCACCTGGTATACAGCAGTACTTGTCTATGAATACTTCCCTAAAAATCATCTCCCATTATCTCCACAGCCACCATCCTATCAGGCCCTACCATCCACTGCCTTTCCAAACACTACTTTTCAGAGGCCCTGTGCTATGAAACTTATCTGCTGCCCTCTACTTATCCACACTGCACTTAGAATGATCTTGGTACTGAGGTCATCAGATCATTTCATTCTTTGGCTGAAACCTGTCAAAGGGTCCTGTTCCAACCTGCCCAGAATCTACCCATTTCCGTAGGCCCTGCAGGGTCCCTTGTAATCTGGCTGCCCACTCTAGACGTCTGCTCTCTTCCCACTTCATTCACTACCCTGCAGGCAAACCAGCTGAGTGCCCTTCTTCAGGGTAGTGCAGACAAGCCTGCTCGGTGGATGAAGTAGTTCCCCTCTTTGGCTTGTCTCCACTTCTCCACTGGCACAAGCCAAAGGTACATAAGGAGAAAACATTAAGTCAAACATAGTTATGTTGTCTATTGGCTGTATAAAAGGCTTATACTCAGCAACTTTTAGAGATCAACAATTAGGGCTGGCCTTACAGAGAACACACACATGCATCTCACTCAAACTTGATTCAAGGCCCCTTTCTGGCTGGGACAAGGACCACCTGATGTAGAAAGTTAATTCTGCAAGTGATTGACATTATTAAGCCAAGCATGCCTGATCTAGCAGGAGAAAAATAATGCTGCATAGAATGTGGTTGCATGGAAATTTCCAGGTGTATCGAATCCCAGTGCTTTTGATGTTACTGGTAGATGAGACCGGGCATAATACCAAAAGCCACAGATTGGCACCCCTCACAGTCTGGGATCTCAGTGAATTGATAGCCTAAAAGTAAGGAGGGACCAGTGCCTGTGGAGCAGCATACATGGTTTCCATTCACCTGCATCCACACTTCGGAGAGACAGTGAGATGCTGGCAAGATGGGGCAGGCAAAGATCAGCCTTGGGCTAGACCAGCCTTGGGATGGCCCTTCTGGCTTCCTAGTTGCACAGTCGGGAAAGCCAGAGACTTAAATTGGGATGGGGAAAGCTCACAGGCTCTGACTCAGAGGTTAACTGTCATTTTCCTGCTGTGGGTCTCCAGTCTTACCGCTTAGCACTCAGCCGACTCCAGTTTACAGCACAGTCCTCCCTCCACCTTCCAGAGTTCCAGGGAGGCCTCCAGTACCAATGGCTTCTAAGTGTGGGCGGCTAGCATTGGTTCTAAAGAAAAGAAAGCATTTGGCTAGTGCCGACCGACGTTCTGGGACTTTAACGCTAATTGCTTTAAGAAGAGGAACAACGACGAATCCCCGCCCCTACGCGCACAATCTCGCGTAAGCACGCACACTATAGCCATTTACGTGCCTAAACATTCGCAGCCAATTAAAACTACAGGCACCATTCGTGCTTGAGGGATAGGAAGACACGGACTTACGTAATTCAGCAGTAAGCCACACTGGATGTTGGGACTTTGTGGGACTTACCGGTCTCTTAAAGCAATCTGGCAGATAAAGCTGGGTCAGGGTCTGTAGTAGATGGCTGGGAAGGGGAAAAGTGAGAAAAGGAATCGGGGATTTAGTCAGATGGGTCTGCCAAAAACAGACGGAAGTAGGAGCAGGGTGCTCTGCTGCAGGAGGTGCGGGGTGGAAACTGTGAGGAAAGAGGCTTGTTGAGGAGGGGCTTAGGAAGAACTGTGAGCCTTGAGGTTAGGGATTGGGGCGGGGCGGGGCGGGGTGAGGCGGGCCAGGGCTGTGAGTGCAGGATAGGAGTTGGAAATCGGAGTTGATGCACTAAAGAATCACTAGGCAATAGATCGGAATTACCAGTGCTTGTAGTCTGGGCAGGTCAATGATCCGAGTTGGGTGGCGTGGTAGTGCTGCCTGCATGAGTGATACTAGGGTGGAACTTTGGATCCCAACTTAGTTTGGCTCGGATCTGTTTAAGGAGAAGGAAAGGGTTGCGCATGCTGAAATGGTAGTGGTGAGCCAGGCTGTGAATGCGCAACAAGGTGGGAAGGGTCTCAAAGTACCAACCAGGGCTGTGGTGGCGAGATAGGTTGACAGAGCTGATCTTTGGATCCTGACATTTGTGATGGAGGGCTGCAGGAGAAGGAGGGGATGCCTGTGCTTGCTAAATTAGGAATGGTGGGCCAGGCTGTGTGTGCTGAGGTAGAGGTTGGGGGCAGATCAGTGATTGGTGACATATGAAGTAGGAATAGAGCTTTGGATGGTGACGTAATAAAGGCCCAGAAACTCTGAAAGAGTAGGGAGGGGCCGTTTTTGGTGATATAGGAGTGGCATGCGGGGCATGCATTCTGGGTTAGTAGTGGTGGGTGGTACTGTGTGTGTTTTTGTCCAGTGGTGGGCGGGGCTGTGCATACTGAGGTTGGAGAGGTGGGCAGCGCTGGTTGTGCGGAGGTAGGAGTGGTGGGTGGTGTTACAAGTCTTGCCCTAGGCATATAGGGTCTACAGAGTACAAGGAAGAGGCTGTAGGTATTGACTTATGGAGGCAGAGGGAGACCTTTGAATACTAACATCATATGGCAGAGGGCCACTGGAAGGGAAGAGCAAGGCTGTGTGCTGAAGTAGGAGTGGTGGGCACAACTGTGACTGCTGACCTAGGGTCTGCCTCAACAGTAACAGGGATGGCTGTTAATGGTAAGCTATGAAGTTGGTCCGAAGCTCTGGATATGGGAACAGTACGATTCAGGGCCACTGGAAATGGAGGGCAGAGCATTGCATGTTGAAGTGAGAGTAGCTGGTAAAGGTTGTGGGTGCTGACCCAGGTGGGTGACGCCTTGGGAGAACCAGGGCAGTGTTGTGCCTGGTCGAGTGTGGAGCAGAGCTTTGGATACTGTCACGCTATAGTTCAGAATGCTGATGAAGGCCTGGGCTGTGAGTGCTGACCTCTGTGGGTGGGTCACTGGTAACAGTGGTATAGGCAGTGGGAATTCTAACCCAATGGAGGGTGATGCTAATGGAGAAGCAGGGCTGATGGAGTTGGGGATAGCTAGGGGCAGAGATAAAGGAGAAGCTGCGTGGGCCTGTGAGTGCTGTAGTAGAGTCAGAGGGGCTTCTGGGAGATCAAGGTAAGGCTGTTAGTGGCGGATTTGGTTCGGACAGGAAGAAGTACAGGGCAGACCTGTGGGTTACATGGCTCTAAACTGTTTCATCAGCTTGAAGTTTGAGGTGTTCATTCCCTTGCTTCCAATCTCTTCAGCTACCTTTCATTTTCTTCTTCCTTTCTTCCAATATTTCAGTCATGAAAATAACATATGACCCAGGTGTCCTGCTGGAAGGAGGGCTTCAAATGGCATGTGACCATGTGGTCCTGCTTATTTGTTTATATGTCTCGGGGTTGGTGGGCAAGTCCTGGAGGACAAGGTACTAGACAAGAATTGTCCTAGTGTGCTTTCTCTAGAAGTCTCATTCTTCCACATGCATATTTATAAGCTTGCCTGGCAACTCTGAAAATATGGAAAGGAAGAACACAGGCAAGGGACTTGAATAAGGCCATTTCAAAGAAGCAACAGGGTTTGGGGTTTACTCATAATACCACTACCCCTTTGTCTTTGTGTTTTCTTCATTCCATTGAGTTGATGTTGTTTGATTATTTTGTCTAGTATTTTCTGTTGTATTATTAACTTCTATTTTAAAAGGATCTTTGTTTTGGTTTTTACGAGACAGGGTTTCTCTGTATTGTTTTGGAGGCTATCGTCCAGCCCGGCCTCGAACTCACAGAGATCCACCTGCCTCTGCCTCCCGAGTGCTGGGATTAAAGGCGTGTGCCACCACCGCCCAGCTTAAAAGGATCTTAGCATAATTAACTTGACATTCTCACTAAGTCTGAAGCCTGATATGGAGTATTTTGATTAGAAATCTTTCCTCACTAAAGGCCAACAAACAAATTCACAGGAAATGGACTATCTCAACTTTGAATTTAATGACATAATTTGTTCAGAACTTTAAGTACAAGAGGTCCTACTGAGGTTATATTTCAGATGAACTTCCTTGAGGAATAAACCTCACATAGGACAAGGCATATATAGACTATCTCTGTTGAATTATTCCCGTTTTCTGGACCTAGCACACAACTGTAGGTCACTTGGGGGATGCACTTTGGGTTCATTCAAGCATCTCTGTGTTGTGATACTGCAGTAGTACCTCTCTTGGGGCCACGGATACCTCTCTAGTCATCAGATATAGGTCTAAAAACTGGGTAGGGGCTGAAACAAGGCAGAATGGTGGTTGGCTGTTGGAGCAGCAACCCTCATGCATCCCCTCTCTTTCCCTCCTCCCTCTCTCCCTCTCTCTCTCACCATTCTGGAGATGAGTGTTGGCCTTTGTTCTGTGTATCTATAAGGAGGCCACAATGGCATTTCATGTGTCAGCTGTATCTAGAGCTAACCTGTGGTTCTGAATGCTCAGTGTTGTTCAGTGTTGCATTGGGCCTTTTGCTGTTGTTGCTGTAAAGAATAGGAGTGGGAGCAGGAGGGGACTAAATTCAGGAAAGGCCTTGTCTTCATTGATCAATCATCAGTTTAAAGTTATGTTCACCTGATTATTTTTCTTCTACAGCATTAAGAGATCATTAATCCTCCTGGAAGAGTTGGAACTCCTAACTGAGTATTCTGAAGTAGACTTAAGGTGTCTCCTGGAGGAGATTGAGCTCCTAGCTGAGATTTCTGAGGTAGACTTGAAGAGGTAGTGCTGTGTTGTTGTAACCTCGAGCTACAACACTTCTCAGTGATCTGGCCAAGGGCCTGAGGATTTAAAGGAAGGCCTTAACTGATGTTTTAATGAGATTCTAGGGCTTTAACATGTCCATCTCCTCCAGGAGACACCTTCAAGTCTACCTCAGAATTCTCAGCTAGGAGGTCCAACTCTTCCAGCAGTTCATCTCCACATTATAACAGAATTCAAAGCAAGGTTTACTCAAACTTTCTAAGTCCCATCCTTGCACTCCCTAGGTTTTGTCCACTAGATTAGTATTCACAACCCTACCTTGGGTTCCTACCTCACCCCTACAGCCCTAACCCCAGTCTGGCACCCCATGTGTCTGCCTACCTAGCTCAGGATTCACAGCTGTGCCTCCAATTCTTGACTCAGAGCCCACTTCTATTCTTTCTTCGGCCATTCCAATTCTACTTTAGTACCCTCAGCCCCACCACTCACATCCTAGCTTTGCTATTCCTATCTCCTGGCCCAGCAGTGGTGACAGTCAGTGCCCCAACCCAACTTCTTATGTGACCACTCAGAGCTCCACCTGTACTTTAACTCAACAAACCTTCCAGGGCTAGTACTCCTGTTGTACCCGAACTTTTGGGAGCACTCGTTGGCCTGCCTAGCTTCTTCCATAGCCCCACCTCTCCATAGCCCCACCTCCCAGCTCATTACATCAGGCTCACATCTCTCTTCTGCATCTTTTCCAGCCCCACTATTGCATGGCCTCACCCTGACCATTTGAACCCTCTGATTCTTTTTCTCAGTTCTCTCCCCTTCCTGGCCCCGATCTCCCCAGCGTCTGAGGAATTCAACAGTGTCTCCTGGTGGCCAATGCAGATTACTTCATGATTTCATAAATGGCTTTCCAGTCCTTGATGCATGAGTGGTAACTTTGGGCCTGATTGACTGAGCTGGTATTGGCTTCATACATTTGCGTGATGGATATGTATTTATATGTAGGTACGGGTACATGTGTGACTGTGTGTCAATATATACCTCTTTTATGAGAGACGTCAGTGTTTGGGCACCTGTCAACTGGGGGAGGCCCCAGGAATCCGTATACACAGTGTACCCTGTGGCCTGAACTTGGCCACATGTTCTCATCCATGGCCCTGATTCTCCCTTACCTGGGTGAGGGAGCCACCCATCCTTGTACTGGAGATCTGACTGGGAAGCCTTGGGTGGGACACCATGCTGTTCATGGCCAAAGACTGGCTGGCCACACATTGTCCTCTTGGTAACTTTGTCTATAAATCTGTGTCCATTCTTGGTATTTCTCCCAAATCTCCAGAGACAGATGCCAGGTATCTCAGTCTGAGCCCTTTGCTTTGGACTCATCAACAAGCAGTTACCATTGTCCTGTGACAAAGAGAGGTGGGTTCTTTTGCAAAATTTCTAATGTCTTCTAAATGTAATGTACAGCCACCCCCCCACGAAGTGCTGATCAATGGCCTGTATCTCAGTTGCCAGAGAATAGTAGTGCTCATCTCTTTAAGATGTGCTTATACTTGCTTAATGGATACTTGGTAGAGACCTTCAGTTCATGCTCATATACTTCCTGTCAACACCTGCTGGGGGATAGAATCTTGTCCTTCAAGATACCTTAGTAGGGTGAGGTGACACCAGTAGCCAGTAGGCAAGTGTCAATGGAAGGAACAGATTTTCCCAGCCTTCCTCTCTACCCTACCTTTGCTGAGGGTATGGAAATGTAGCTGGTTCTCATGAAAGCACAAAGCAAATCCAAAGTTGGGGGAGCCAAGCATACAGAATGGTACAGATAAGACACAGACTCCATTCTAATTTAGATTATTTATTTGCCATCATTGGATTTATCTATATTGATGGCAAAATTCGACTTAACCTTAAAACATTTTTTACTAGTTTTTCATTGCCATATGATTTCATAAGTGAGGATTATTCCTTATGGGCTCACAGATTACACACTTATAATCTGAGGAACCTTCCTGCTCTTCTTCATTAGGGGATTCATTTGTTTGCCTTTGTGAGAGGGCAGACAATAGGGCAGAACAACTATCGTTGTACAGACACATCATAGAATTCAAAATGCGGCGCCCTGATGAGCTGACACTGGGTACTTCTTCCGTGTCTTGGACTCCAGGAGCAGTTGGAGGCATATATATAGTATTGTGAGAGGTGTCTTCCACAGGTGGGTTTCTTGACTCCCCAGATGGCTGATATTGTAGGTAACATCCAGGAATAGCTTTCATCGCCCATATAGAAGAGAATACAAAATCATTATTTTCTTTAGGTGGCTTATCACTGGAGGTCTTCTTCTTGGACTCTTCCTCATGTTTATGATAGAATCGGGGAGAATATCTGGTAGGTAAGATCTTCTTTTTTTTTGAAGTTGGCCCTTGAGAAGATTTAAGTGGAACAGGTACACAGGTAGCTTGGTTGGCAAGACTGCCTATGTCTTCTTTTCCCCAGATATACTGAAACAGTCCAGGCTTATCTCTTTGGAAGTTGAAGTTGCGGTACATCTGAAACAAAATGAGTATTTTAGCTATCTTGAGACGAAACATGCATTGATCCCCACAGCCCTTCCCACACCAGTCACAGTATCTTAGTTCATGATGAAAAAATAATTTGAGTTAGCAAGGATGCCTATGTCTTGTGGCACGATCTCATTAAAGATAAATAGTATGTAAGGTTGTAATACACACACATACATACACAAACATACATGTGTGCATGCACACATGTACCATTATCTAGCCTCTCATAGCAGTTCTTGTCTTAAGACTTTTAGGTTGGCTCTATGTAATTAAAGAACAAAGTCATTGCATTCAAAGTCTACATTTTGACCCTTTAGGAGGATAACATCTCCTGCTAAAATAGTTATACTTGGAAGTAAAGAACTGACATGGGTTGGGGAGATAATTTGTATGGCTCCGTTATTAAAAGTAGGATAAAATACTTAGCACATTACCATTATTTTCTTGTTCTCTCCAGAGGAAGCTACAGAGGTCTCACTGCTTATCTTCCTGAAGCCATACAAGTTGAGCTGGCGAATGAAACTCTTTAAGCTGTCTGTTTCAAAAATCTTCTTTGCCCCCTTAAGCTGAAGGACCTCTCTCTGGAAAAGGTCTACATCAATCATAATGGTGTCTCCTTCCTCAGTCCAATTCACCGACTTGAATGCCTCGTTCTGCACAATGGCCCAGAGCTTCCTGGGGAAAGGTAGACTGAGAAGGTTGGTGTTATCTTCCTCACTGGCTGTAGGTTGGGTTTGGTCTTGTATCACATCTTGATCATCTTTTCCCACCAAACCCTCTCTTGAATGGGCTTCTGAATCAGATGAAGAATTAGGGATGTCCTTGCTTTCAGGTTCTTCATCAACAGTTGGGTTTCCATTGGATTCACAATCTTCCTCTACACTCCAAGTAGCCATGACACTAAACAAGCATCAGGAATGTTCTGAGCAGCAGACCACAAGTACCTGTCCTAGCAAGTCAAAGTGTCTTTGGTTTAGTAGGAACACCCAATAAATAGTGACCATGGAGTTAGGAACACCCAATAAATAGTGACCATGGAGTTCTAGATTCTCAGAAGACATTTATTGACGTCATCATTCTCTTTGTTTGTCATGTGATGTCACTAAGACGGCTCACAGTCAGTCTGGAGAGGAATTCCAATCCAAGTATATGTGGTGAGTTGGTAGATAGGTGGGAAGGTTCCAGTTCTTCTGTTTCCTATGCCAAGATGTGCTGCAAATTCTCAGAAAAAGTGTCCTGTTTGATGATACATATCTTGTCATGGGTCCTGTATGAGTTGAGAAGCACAGGCACATTTGCTTCTCTCAGTCCTCAAAATGGGGGATGTTTGCTGCCGCTATCGATGTTTAGTTCAAGGACCAGCCCTTAGTACAGTAACCTTAGGTATTTGCATGAGTCCTTTACATATATAGATTGCTAGATGATAGAAGCTCTTAGGCATAGTGGTCTAACCTTGCTTTTACCTTTTACTTGTCCCTTACCCCACCCTATTTACTTGTCCCTTACCCCACCCTATCTCAGTCTTGAATTGGTTTCTTCCAACTGTTCCTATGGTTGATTGTGTGTCTTCATATAGATCCTAATAAGGATTGAATTTCTCTATACTCGGATCAACTTGTCCCCTAAGTAATATTGTATGCTCAAGTCGGATGAGATGGACACACTCCTACGGTTACTCGTTGGTAGGATTATTCTAAGCACTGTTGTTTGACTAAATAGCCACATCCTCAATGGTACTTTGAATTTACATGTACACCTTTACTTGCCACCAAATCACTTTGTTCTGTTGGTCTAAAAATGCCAGTCACTTCTGTTTCTTTCCTCTAAAAGCCATTCTCAATGGCCCATGACAGTAATTTTTATTTTCATGAAACTGCATCATTTCCTTATTGTCTTTATTTCCTTCAACCCCTCCTATATATTCCCTTCATTCCCTCTTAAATTTGTGGCCACATTTTTTATTGTTATTATTATTATGGATATGTTGATACATATATGTGCATAAATATACAAATAATACCATATGATTCTATTTAGTGTTGCTTGCATGTACGTTTTTAGGGCTGATTGACTTGTTATTTACTGCATAACCAATTGGGGGCTCATCCCTGTGGAATAGTAACTTTTCCACACTTGCCATTCCTTAATTATCTGTAGTTCTTTGTCTATGGGTAGAGTTCTGGTAAAATTTCCCCCTTCCATGTTAGCACGTCTGTTGGTATTGTCCTTATTCAGGTCTTTGTGACCTGGTTTTCATGAAATCTATCTTAAGGAAATCTTCTATCTCCTTAGCAGCTAGATACACCTAAAATAAGTAAAACTGATATATATGTCCTAGTGTACATTTTTTGTTTTGTTTTTGTTTTTGTTTTATGAGACAAGGTTTCTCTGTATTGTTTTGGAGGCTGTCGGTCCAGCCTGGCCTCGAACTCACAGAGATCCGCCTCCCTCTGCCTCCTGAGTGCTGGGATTAAAGGTGTCCTAGTGTACATTAAAAAATCATCTAAACACTTGTGGTAGATGATTAGCTATGGTAATTTAGCCATGGAAGAATGTGAATTTCTTCTTTAATTATATATGTATATGTATGTATAACTTATATGTGAATATATATTTAACTATAAATAATTATGTAATGAATATATATATAAGTATGTATTTATATTCAGAATTATGTATATACACATTTAAATGCAATATTCTGAGTGTATTTAATGTTTCTCATATGTATTTCTGTTTAGGGCTGACCACTGGGGATTAGAGAACCAATCAGGGATCTTGTCCCTGGAGAAGAGTCAATCTTCCTCTCTCTGTAGCCACTTATAACCTGTAGCTCTTCATTTTGTTTGGTTTGGTTTGGTTTTTAGAGACAGGGTTTCTCTGTATAACAGTCATAATTGTCCTGGTACTCACTCTATAGACCAGTCTGGGCTTGAACTCAAAGAGATTGCCCTGCCTCTACCTCTCGATTGCTGGGATTAATGATGTTTGCTGTCACCCCCTGGCTGACTTTAGCTCTTGTGAGATTTCCCTGTGTTGTCATTGTGCTAATCTTATTTAGACGTACTATTGAGATTTCACAGGTGTAGAGTCCACATCATATACAGAAAATGCTATCTCATAGTAGATATTCTGGTCCTCTGGCTCTTACAATCTTTTTATCCCTTCGTCTATAATGTTATCTGAGCCTTAGTTGTTGAGAGGCCAAAAATTAAAATTAATAAAACTCTGAAGACTTGGGCTGCTGAACCTATGCAGAGAAAATGAGACCTTCTAGTGATAAAAAGAATTTCACCCCCTAACTGGAAGTACATGACTAGGAGCCTGAGCCCAGCTCTCAGAGAAAGGGAGTTAGCTGCCACCATCTGTGTCAACATTGCTTTGCCCTAAAGAAAACCAGATAACCACTAATTTCTGGTTGTAAAAATCACCCCAGGGGATAATTGGCAAGTTCATTACCCCATGCCCCCACCCTATCTTGCTCAAATGTATCTTGCTTAAAATATATAGTTATTGCTTTACTTTCTACTTTGTAACGACCTTGAGTATCATGGAAACTTTGTTATCTTGTGGCTCTCAGCCTTGTGATCTTAGCCTTTAAAAACCTTCCTCAGTTTTTGGTAAGGACCTCTGTCAGCAACTTGTGGTGGTCTGTTTGGGGTTTCAAGAACCTGGCATAACATTGTAGGGTTGTGTTTAGATGTGTTTATTAGGGTTGGCACTCGACAGTAAGTTGCTTTCCAAATTTTGATCAGTTGTGAATTTCTGTAATGGTCTGTGTTGAAGGGAGCTTAGAGGAATGTAAGTATGCAGGGGAAGTGAAGGAAGGCTCACTGAGATAGTGGTTTTGTTGTTCCCAGTAGACTCTGAGAAACAGCTGGAATGCACAGGGGCATATATCTAGGGCAGGTCCAATGGGGGGATGGGGAGGAGCCACGGAGCCAATATAATACCCAAGCTAGCATCTGTTTAAAAGAATTCCACCCTAAAGCAATAAGGCTATCCCTTTCCCATTCTTCATGACAATATCTGCTGTATTTCCCTGTTGTTCATGCCAAAGAATGAACTCAGTGATGCCATAGACCAGCCACCCCTCCAGTTATACATGGCTCTCTTTTCTTTGCATTTTTTACATTAATGTATTTATTGTGCATATACAGGTTCAAATGTGGGCCACAGAACCCATGTCAGAGGATATCCTAGATAAGTCTGTTATCTTCTATCGTGCAGCCTCTGGGGATTTCACTCAGGTCATCAGGCTTGGCAGCAAGGGCCTTTACCCAATGCATCCTCTTACATTTTTTCTTCACCCCTTAGGGCCACATTTTGCACCCTTCCTTCCAATCTTATTTATAAGATTTTTTTCCTAGATTGCTCAGATCAGGTGCTAGTACTCCAAGACCTGCCCTTATGGCTGCTTTTGTCTTCATGCCAGGCTGCTTGTGTTCTTGAAGACATGGTGTGCTACTTCCGCTCCATTTGGTAGTTTGTGGTCCCAGGATACAAACTGAGGAAGCATAATTTTTACTCATCTGAGTAATCTCCCTCAGCTTGACTTATGCTGAACACAAATGTCCCTTGCATATCTAAGAAAGACTGTGGTGTAGTTTCTTCTACCAACTGTGATTAGTCTTAACCACCAGCTGCTAGCAGCTCGGTTATCGTCGATGCTAAATTTCCTCCAAACTGGTTTGTTGAATTTAGTAGCCAAAGGCATTGATTGTAGTTTCCAGGCTCTTAGGTCACCCTTTATTTCTACTTTTATTTTTCATACACATCTATCATTACTTAAAGAAGCCACAACCTCTGTAGATTGCCACATCAAGGCCTTCAAATAACATGATATAGTCTAGTGACCCAGTGCTCAGTGTTTGTGGGGGGCTGGCAGGATGTAGAAGACAAGTTGTCAGCCCATCATCATGATTCCTGATGAATTAGTCCAGTGTGCTTGCTACAGAATGCCCATCCAGCCTCTTGTAAACCTGCAGGTTTATCCTGGAAACTTGTAAAACTGGTTATTTCATGAACATAAGGGTTTTCATACTTTCAGCATAATCTCCCATTTTTTGGTAAATTTTTATTCCACTGAGTTTGTTATCTCATATTTTGATTTGTATTTTCCATTACATTGAGCATTAGTTTATATTCTGAAAAGTTTCCTTAAAACAGTAACTTCGTTTCTCACTAAATCTGCAGCTTAATATGGAGTATATTGGTTCACATTCTCCCCCATTCGGGACCTACACACCAATTTCCAGGGAATGGTCCACGGCTTTGACTTTGATAACATCCTTTGTCCAGAAATGTTAACTACACCATGTCCTTCTTGAGAACAACTTGTAGATATTTCATTGACTCACAAAGCATGAACATCCCACAGGACACTGTCTACAACAGAGTTGCTTGTTATTGAAGTTTCCTTGATCTTCAGTGGCCCAGTATACAACTGTAAGTCCCTTTGGGAAATGCCGTGGGGCAATTTGCAAGTCTCATTTCTTTGGTACTTCAGCTTCCTACTATTCCTTGAGTCAAAGGGTTCCCAAATCTGGGTCACAGAGCACAAACTGAGCAGGGATACTCATTGGTTTGTTGTGAGTAGCAGCACTCAGTCCCTATCCCTGAATTTTTACTCATGTGAGTAACCTCCCTCAGCTTGACTTATGCTGAACATATATGTCCCTCGTATACCTAAGGAAGACTGTGGTGTAGAGTTTCTTCTCTCAACTGTGATTAGTCTTAACCACCAGCTGCTAGCAGCTCAGTTATCATCGATGCTGCAGATGATGATGAGGAATTGCAGGAGGAGGAAGAGTAGAAGTCAGAGGCAGAGTAGGACAAAGAGAAGGAAGAAGATGTAAAAGAAGTAGGGGCTGGGCAAGAGGAATAAGAAGTGGAACAGGAGGGAAAGAAAACTTCATAAACTGTTGTGCACAGTGAGATCAGCTAACCTGTCGTCACCCAGACCTACAGAGTAGCCTTATGGCAAACTTCTAAG